CATAATATTATTACATAGGTACAATGTTAACTGTAGGTACAGCTATAATACTAGTGTTGGATAAAACCGAGGTAATAGTAACTTTTGCATTATTTTCGATCGACATTCTACAGAATTGATTAGCTTGGTGTTACTATAATATCGTGGTCGACGTGATTATAATATTATATCGATGTAGCACAGAGTTTTAAACAGTAGGTATGTTTACTTATGGTATTAATATGACAACTTTGAATTTATAAATAAATGGGATCAAGGAGAAATAATAATTTAGTATACGTTTGTATGTTGTTCAAAACGTGTGTATTGTGCAGTACAAATGCACATTTAATTTATATAATTGTGAATGTTAATACTCAATACAATTCAATTAAACGGATTGATCGAATGAATTTACGATGGAATTTTATGGGATGCGTACGAAAATTAAACTGTGATCTGGAATCCTAAAGAACAATCTCACAGAAATCGAATCTTGTAAACAGTGCATGGAAGAGGATTCGACAAGGAATTCGGTGTATTATATGATGTAATAGTTTTAAAAAAAAAATCTTTGATGTCAACTTTCGGCTGTTGCATCAAAAGGTCAAAGAGAGTTGCATAACCGGTACTGCTCCAGACAATGTTTTCAAACCAAATTGGTTATAAGATACGTCTATGAAAAAAGAACCACAGTCAACACAGAGGTACCTACATCGTCGTATTTATTTCAAAAATAAATATTTTATAACTATACATTTTATTTAAAAATATTTATCCTGCCATGGCAACTTACCGTTTGTTATAAAATAATTTTCGAATTCGTCCCTAATTTGTTTCGACTCGATCGCCGATTTCCTTGCTACTCTACTTATATTGGCAATATAATGATGAAATGTCTCCTATTTCACCTCTCCATGTAGCTGGTACCTGGGATGATTTATCCTGCATTTTCATAATCCAAAACTCCGGGCGGCAAATACATTTTGGAAAAAGCCCTACTTTTTATTAAAATGTTATGAATTAAAACGTACCAATGTCATAAGTCATAACGATATTTGTTGCATTTTCTGGTTCACTAGTAACGGTTTTCTTAACACACGGAAAACGGATGACATAATCTCAAACACGTTTTCTACCAAGTACTCGATGAGCTCTCGAGAAACGGTAGTTAAATACTCTTTCGGCGCTTCCTTTGGCTTATACTTTTATGTGACAGGATAAGGTTTAATTATATTTTGGGACATTTTGGAATAGGTAACGTTTTTGAAGGTAATAGTTGATCAGGTAGGAGCATTAGTTTATTTTCCTCGATTTTTTGGTATAAAATACTATTTTTGAAAACTCTACAATCGCTTATTCGGCCCTTGACAAAAAATATCAACAATGAGCGAACATAAAACAATAAGTATTTTGCGTTTACTAACGTCATCAATACAATACTAAAAGTACCTTTATAATTTATTTACCTACTCATATCCACTGTTAATTGGACTTTGCAGAACTATAATTATGTTTTCCGTCTAATGCACCCACGCAATTTGGAAAATTCAAAATTTCATTCCAACTTTGTTCAATTTCTAGCCATTCTTCTAAACTTTTAGGCATCTGTAATCTGTATAGTGTGTAAGGAACAAAATAAATAACATTTAATAATACACAATATATTATTTTAATATTTAATAAAACATTATATCAAATAAAACACTTGAAATAGTAGTCCATACTACCATGTTATATTGGATCTTAAAATGAATTAACATCATTTTATAGACTACTTTTTATTTTTCATATTTTAGATTATAAGCGGACCAATAAATGTTTTGATTTTACAATGATATGTGTGTTTTTTTTATGTGTATAATACTTTAATGTATAATGTATATTGTATATACGCTGTTTTTGTCAAAATTAATTTAGATTTTTAGCGTAGGTATCTAAGATCTAACTAAAAAACTAATAACCTTTAGATACTTGAATGAGAGTACTTGATGTTTATATTACCATTATTTATACATCATTAAAATTTCAAAATATTTTTCAAGAGCTATTTACAGGCATATAAAAAAGTTTTCTTTTTAAAATTAATGTTGATAAAAAATTGTTCCACAGTTAAAAATTAAAATACTTGAAAATTTAACACACGATTCCTCATCCGTTGTTATAATAACAGTTGAAAATATTAATGATACATGGACACAATTTTTTTTAATAAGCATTTAAACTTTAAAATTTGTCAAAATTCTGAAAATTTGCAAATTATTTTGTAATTACAAATGTATAAAATGTTCAGTTTTCTTAGCCAAGAATTCAACATTTAAAACAAGTTATATTCTCAGTAGTTCATACTGTCATAAAAAATGAAAAAATAAAAAGACAATCATTCTTGAGCAGGAATAGGTTTTCTCTTAGTATGTTAATAGGTATATCGAGTTTTGTGATATCTGGTCCAATTTTATTTGAAATATATTCAAAATCTCTTGACGAAATAAGGCAGAAGTTTTCAAACTTTTACAATGATTTATTATTTAAGTCGAGAAACATATTTGAAGTAGGTACTGTAAATGTAAAAGAAAAAACCTAATATGTTATTCTCATTACAATTTGTATAACTTTCTACGGTAATTAAAATGTTTTATTGAATATGGTTTATAATATCTTACAATGAGCTTATAAATTAAAGAATGTTATGCAATTATGCAATAAATATCATGCTCCGAAGTATCCTTGTATTTTAGTATACTAATTAGTTTATAAAATAAAATCTTTCTTCGCCTAAATTGTAGCTCTCTATATTATATTATGGTCAACTCTATAATGTAACAAGAAAACACTGTATCCTTACACCGGGACATCTAGATAGTAGATCTAATCAGGATTATACATGGATATTAAGATTTAAGAGGACATCATACCGTTAAATTGCGTTATCTCCATCTTATCAACACATAGAAAAGTTTACAATTTCAAACTATTCATAACTTACTTCAAAATTAACCTACTTAGTGAGTCTACACACTCTGATATTAAAAATAACAGTAAAATGGATTAGGTATACTAAATGTAAAATTTGTTAGATTATGTGTTTGTAAGTTAGAGACACATGTAGGAATAATTTCCTCTTATTAGGATATATATTTTATTTAATATAAAATATTTATATTATATAAATATTTTATTAAAATATATAATTTTATATAAGTATTATATTTTATTTAAGTGCAATACTAATGTAAAAAATATACTGTATTAGTTATTTACAATACTCAGTTTAGTAAAGTTACACTAATATCCACTATAAATATTCAATAATTTAAATAAATGAGACTGTACTATGATGTTTTACATTTTTTTAAATTCTGATGGTACGTTACAATGATAATTATAAATATAAAACATGCCATAGTAGTTATAGCATCAGTACATAAAGCATTGTTTCATAAGAATTATTATTTTAATACATGATAAAATGATGATTATTTGATACCAGTTTTGGTTATAATTTTTGAAGAAAAAAGTTTTATTATGAATTCTATGTTAAGAGTGTTGTAAATTTCTGATCATACAATATGAACTGATTAATTCTAAAAAAAAAATAGAATAGGTCAATATAACAAAATAAAATTCATACTAAATATATTTTATAAAATATAAGTATATAAAAAAATATTAACAATTATTTTACTGTATTCAAAATAAAGTGCGCCATGGTAAAAAACAGAACTGCAGTCTTTTTATTTCTATTAATGTTAAATACACAACTGTTATCAAATAGTATATTAAATTCAAAACACTTAATAACTACTGTCTACTTAATTCTTTAATTTAATACTATAACAATGACTACAATGTAATCGTTCCGGTTCATTCAAAGCATACTAACTCCAAAAACACAATTTTTGAGAATCAGCTATGGTAATTCTTTAAACTTTAAATGCAACCAAATTTTGGTTTTTGATTCTTTTAATTGATTTTCTTTTACGCAAATTAGTTATTTATGAATGGTTGTAAATAATAAGACGATGTAAAATTCATAATTTTTACCATAGTTAAAATACAAATTGCTTAGTTCATAGTTGAAAACAGCATATTGTAGATATTTTTAAACAGAATTCTATAGAATAATAAACCAGAAAAATTGATTTTTGGACTTAGTGTGCTTTGTATGAACGGGGGCATAATATTATAATCAATTTTGATGCATTTTTAATGTATGAAATAATTAGTCTTCAAATATATGATATAATATCTCATTGCAATGTAAATAAACTGAACAAATTATTAAATTAAACAAAATTAAGTTATAAATCGGCATTTTATCTAAAGTTTTAACATTTGCCAATATTAGTTTGTAAAAAAATCAGTAATTTGACCTTAAGGGGAAGTTACAGCGACATTTGTTGTCTCTTTTATTATGAGTATTTTAAGATGTACAAACAGTTTGCAATTTAAAAATCCACATAACTCACTTTAAAATTAAAATATAATAAAAATCCTACTTCATTGTATAGGTAAGTCTTACCATAAAATTTTATAAGAGCTCAATTCAATCTAATTTTTAAACTAATGGAGATAAATGTGTTCTGCTTAGCGTAAAAGTTGCTATGTTACTCACTTGTAAGTTGTAAGACAGAAAAAACAAATGTAGCTGTAACGTTCCCTTAAGGTTTGAAACAAAAATGTTTAATCAACTTCATATATCAATAGATATAATTACTAATTACTATGGTAAGTGGTAACATACTACATATTTAATTGATTCAATATTATACTAACATAAAATAGTTATAGAATAAATCTTATAAAAGATAATACATTGCAATTAGTAGTTTATTATTAAATCTCATACAATATGCCAACTTATTTATGACTCAGAATTCTACACAATATTGTTATTATTACTAATATTTGGTTTGTTTAAATAATATACCTAAAATCACTATTAACAATGTAGCCAACAATAAACATTATTGATTTAGTATTATTTTAATATTTTCTTCAGTCATCAACTACAAAATAACCTAACTTTCATGTGCAGAATGAAGAAATTGTTTATCATTAAACTGTACTCTTCCATTCCTAAACATAGGTTCTTCGGTTTGTTTCCAGTGATCAAAACAAAATTGTGGCACCATTATGCTGACTTCTTTGCGAACTGATTCATCAGAGTCTGTAACGTAAATAATAATTATTTTATTTAATAAACAAAAATTTATTTTTAATTATTATTAACACTGATAAAATATATTATTTTTTATACAAAACTCAGTTTGTAGACTTACTTTAAGAACAACAATACAATAAATGGAAAGTATAATATCATATTATATGAAAAATGTTATAGTGCCATACACTACTATCTACTTCTGTTATTTAAAATGGTAACAAGTTGCAGTAAATGGATAGATAGACTCATCTTTATTACACATTATATATTTCATTGACATCAGTACTGAACTACAGAGTATTTGTGTAATGCATAAACAATTTGCATCCATTTTTTTTTTTATATAATTTAGAAATGTAGAAATAGACAGATACATAAATAAAAATCACTTATTTTGGGGACTAAAAAAAGATTAAAAGATTTTAATTCTAATTATTCTAATGTATTACTATAAGTATAACAGTGTAAGAGTATATGCGTATTATTTAAAACAAGTATAACTCCATTGATTAATACATAAAACAAAACAAAATTACCAGATCCATGTGTGGCATTTCTAGTATCTGTGAGTCCATGTTTAGCTCTTATAGAATCGGGATTACTTAGCTGGCATTGGAAAACTTTAGTCGGACCCATTAAACGGCGCCAAACTGAAATCGCATCTTCTCTAGCCAATATATATGCTTCTGATGGTCCACTATAGGTGTGATCACAAATTAAGAGGACGCTACACAGATATTGGTTGTCACCATCTTACAAGTGTGTAACATAGCAAATATACACTCAGCAGATGACGTTTAGCTCTGTTAGTTTAAAAATTAGAATAAATTGACCTATTATGAAACTTGATGGTAAGAACATTATCTATGTTTGTATATGGGATTTTTTTAAGATGATTTAATTTTTAAGTGAGTTATGAGTAAAGACCGGATTTAGCATATTATGCATATTCATATTTTTATAAGCTATTACATGCAGTAAATGGATTTTCATCAATCATAGTTAAATAAATAATGTTACAAATTTTTATTTTGCATATTTTTGGTACAAGTGCATATTTTCCATAAAAATGCATGTTTTTGCATATTACGTATATATTTAAATATTTTTATTTAATTTTATAACTGTATGTACCAATGTACCATTATTATACACAAATTTGTTCAAAACACAAAAATTGAAAATATTTTTAAAAATATAATAGGCAGATTGTATACTGATTTTCCCGTCGTATAGTTTTATCTTATCTAACATTATCAAGTTATCGACTATCGTTTATTTATACTACAGAACACAGACTGACAGACTAACGACTGTAGTTCGAAGTGTACATTCGGCAATAGTCAACGACGTCAACGTAGTTCTAAATAAACACATATTAATTTTATATAACATTGTTTGTGTTTTTAAATTACAATGCCAAAGTTTCCAAGTTCAAAATTACCATCACTTAGAAAATGGATTGAACCGTATAATAAATCAGGTGAGGTTTTACCGCCCCAACCTATAATAACACGATGGGGTGCTTGGTTAGAATCAGCAATATTTTATGCAGATAATTTCGAAAATTTTAAAAATGTTATACAAAGCCTACCAGAAGACGATGTAAAAAGCATTAAAAACTGTAAGCAAATTCTAACTAAATCAAATATAATTAACGATTTAACTTATATTAAAACAAATTTTTCGGTTATTGTTGAAAGTATTAAAAAGCTTGAGACTTCAGGTTTGCTACTCATAAATGCTTTAGAAATATTTGAACAAGTTACAAATGCTATCAATAATCTTTCAGAAAATGAAAATAGCGTATTAATTAAAAAAAAATGTTCCGACATTATTAAAAAAAACAAAGGCCTGCTAATTTTAAAAGAAATTTCTAAAATACACCAAGGTGAGAATGTTGACTTAAGTTCTTCTATCAAACACTTTTCCCCGGAAATGTTGTCAAGTTTTAAATATGCACCCATAACAAGTGTTGATGTGGAACGAAGTTTTTCTGCATACAAACATATTGTCACAAATCGCCGTCATAATTTAACTGAGATCAATATGGAACATATTATTGTTACTTATTGTTTTTCCAATAACAAATAAATTATATATTTTTTATCACAATCATAAATTCATAAAATATATTGTATATAATATTGTAGTTTATTATTTTTTTTTCATCATAAATGTTTTGATTTTATAAATTTTCCATAAATAAAAAGCTGTAATAGGTAATAAAAATTTATTTTGCATGTTTTGTGATATTTAAGTGCATATTTTCGTCATAAATGTTTTGATTTTATAATTTTACCATAAATAAAAAGCTGTAATAATCAAAAATTATTTTGCATGTTTTATGATTTTTAAGTGCATATTCAGAACTTTTTAAGTGCATATTTGCATGCATATTTTAACATTTTAAATGCATATAAATCCGGTCTTTAGTTATGAGTATTTTTATGTACCTTATATTATACATGCAAAATTTGTTAAAAAATTAAACTACCGTAAAAACATACATACAAACCCAGATAATATTCTTACCATTAAGTTTCATAATATGTCGATTAACTTTAATTTTTAAACTAACAGAGCTAAATGTGATCTGCTTAGTATAATTTTGCTATGTTACGAACTTATGTTACTAGACAACAAATGGCTGTGTAGCATCCTCTTAGGTAAATATTTTAAAGTTATTAAAATCATTTTAAATACCTTGTCATGAATGTGATGAGTCTGTTATAAAAAAACTTTGTCTTATGTTCTCTGTAAAATTGCTCTGCCTGTTCCAGTTTAATGGTTTGGCGCTTTGACCGCACAACGTAAAAACCATTGTCCAGTATTGTTCGCCTAATATCCTGTTGGAAACATTAATAGAGGATCATTATGAATTTAACTCATGTGTACAATCTTGTAGTTGTAGAACATCGACAAATTTAAACTAACTCAATAGGTATACCTATAATACAGTCATATTACATGGGTAATAGAATTCTCCTTTTTTTATTACAGTAAACTAAATTATTATTACAGAAGTAATCAATATTAACATGACTACGGCTTATTGTGTTAAAAATAAATATTATTTATAAATACATTTTGACGATACGTACGTGCAAAGAAAATGGACTGGACACCACATGAGGTTTCATGATGGCTAGAGTCAATTGCAAATGCTTGACAGGTGTCATCTCAGGGAAAACATTTCATCTATTTCTAATTAAAAACAATTTGTCATTTGATGATAATATTATAATATTACATACAACTATTAAACATACTCACTCTACTCGAAAAAATATAAAAACTACAATTTTGAAAGATATGAATGTATGATGTTTTAAATTTTAATATTTATTATTTTAGTAAGCATAAAGATAATAGATAATATTATGTTATCTTCATGTCTTATCATACTTTGATAACGATTTTGATGTGCACGTGCCGTTACAGTGTATCCACAGGATCGAATACAATTTATTAAAATATGCAAATTGCAAACAAATAATGAGTAAAGAGCATTGCCCGGATTTATATGCTCTAAAAAGTAAAAACCGTAGAAAATGATCTATAAAAAAGGCTAAAAATGTATTTTACCACAATAATGCCTTTACAAATGTACATATAAAATCATTTTTTTAATGCAATGTTTTATTAGGTACCTATGCACCTACCTAATTTAAAATGAACAATACATTTAAAATAATTTACTTAATATTTATTTAAAAAAAAAACCAAAATTAGATTAAAATTTGATTAGAAGTTCAGAGTATTTATAAATTATAATCATGGCCTAAACATTTTACTATTGGATATTTGGATACAATATGTTTTCCCTCTGTATAGACTATAGGCCTAAGTAGGTAAATAGTTACAAGTAGAATTTTTGGACCAAAATGATACTGCTCCCCCTCCCTAGAAGAGGGATCAAATTAGCTTTGAAGTCGTATGATATACAAATATGGGTTTAAATTTTAAACTAACAAAATGACCAAAAAATGAAAAAACATCCAAATATGCAGTTGAAGTATCTGTTTCATGGAACAAATTATGTACTTGGAAAGCATTGTCTGAGATCACCAAAAAAAAAGATGCACTTAGCTTTAAATTCCGGGCCCTATTAATGAGTAATTGACAATTGACATAATATATTAACATTAATATTGTTGAAATATTTTTCAAGGACAATGACAAACAACGTATGTAAGTTGTAACTAATTGTGAGTTAATACCTATGAGTTATGACTTATGACTTATGAGTAATACTGGAATAGGTATGTACAACAAATAATATTTTGTATAACTGTTAATAAGTACCTACCTAATAACGATTAACGATACACAAGAAACAGCAGTACCTACCTACATAATATGCTTGATATGACGTGATATAACTACAGAAATACAGAATAGATTCTCTGCACGATGCAGTAGATCAGTGGAGTAGTGAATCATGTTTTTTAGAAGCAATTGTTCTGGTTTCTGGAGGGTGGTGGTTTAACATAACCTCATAAAGCCCACATACACGGTCAGTCTTTGAACTTTATTTTGGGTGCTAACTCCACACCCTATTTGAATATATGAGTATCGTATACATCAGTTGGAGTAGGGTGGGGAAGGTCATAAATAATTTGTTCGCTTCCATATGATTTAAAGTCCACTACACCACTGATGTAGATCAATTATTTACATCGTGATTCTGTGATAATAATATGACCCGAACGGACTAAGATGAAATGAACTGGAAACGAGCAGCTTATCAGTGGTAGTCTTAGTTATTTTGCTGTAGTTCAAAAAATATTATTCGTAGAGACTTCAGATGTTTCTCCATATTATTATTTATTATAATATACTATATACCTACAACCAATATAGGTATACACAATAAAAATTATCAAAATATTTAGGTTAATTTTAAACTATTTATACATCTAACCTTTTTTTTTTATTATTATTATATTCAAATAAATCTACAATCTATACATTTTTTTTATACAATGAGTACCGTTTGATAAGTGACAAATAAAAGTGGTTAACATGAATCAAGAGATTAGAGAGGATACCCGCAGACCGCAGTGGTAACACCCTATAAAATACCACTAACCTAAACCTTAAAATTAATCTAAAATTGTACATGGTAGGTAGGTACCAAGTTACCTAGTTACTTACCTAGTTCTGTAAGTATATTGATTTAAGTTCAAGTAAATGTTGTACTTATGTACAACATATATACTATGGTGGTGTACAGGCGTCGCAAAGTATTGCCAAAACATTCCCACCGAGTAATGGATTCAAAAACGAAAAAAAAAAGGCAGGTATAGCTATTGACTTACCTATAAGTTAATAACAACAAGTTATAATAATATATTAAATAATTATATAATAATTACCTACAGATACCTATATAATAAACTCAATTTGTTTTTAGCATAATTTAGTTTAATCTATCATATGAATAATTAGAAAAATAAATTACTTACAAGAATATAAATATGTAATAAAATATTCTTAGGTTAGGAATATTGGCTTGCACTGCTTGCAGACCATTTCCGCTCAAAACCGTTTTTTGCATGTTATGCAATGATTTATGATTTAAATCCATTTCAGAAACCTATAGGTACTCAATGAAGAGATACACTAACAAGTAACAGCAGAACACAATACACAACTTGCCAGTTTTCTAGGTTCGGTAGTAATCGGTACGGTAAAACGAGAGTACGAGACCCTATGTCTCTATTACTAAGTCCATCCGTCCCTCTGTCACCTCAATACCTCATGAACCATGAAAGTTAGAACGTTGAAATTTTCACAAATTATGTTTTTCTGTTGCCGCTATAACAACAAATACTAAAAGTCTTAGAATATATAAAATAAGCAGTGTTGCCAACATGTTTATAGCTGATGATGGTATGGAACCCTTCGTGCGGGAGTCCGACTCGCACATGCCCGGTTTTTTTTTTTTTTGATTGATGTGTTGTTATATAATTTGTACTTACATTTGCTCTTTAAATCATTATTTAATTAAAATAATATTTTTCTTATTTTTTGAATATTCTTGTACCTATCTATATTTTGTATTTAGATAATTTTTTTTAAGTACCTAGGCAACTCGTATTTAGTCATTTAGAGTATACAGGTAAGTACTAAGTACTTGGTATTTACCTACTATAAGACATAAGTAATAGTTTTATAAATTAAATTCCAATGCTCAATTATAATTATAAATTTTATGAAAAATGGCATAACCCGCATTGAGTTAGCAAACGTCAAGGTAACATAATATTGCCATATTGGCTTACCTATGTTTGCAATAAACACAATTTAAAAATATATTAAAGTGTGTTATCTAAATACGTGTAAACGTGTAATGTGTGATGTGTGATAAGTATACCTATTACCTATACAATAATAATTCAATATATTATACCTATTTATTTTATGAAACTTAGCAAACATTATTCAGTTCAAACGGTTTTATTATTATTATTATTATCATTAGCAAATATAGGTACCTACCAATGATAATTATTCAATATTCGCAAATTAGTATTGTGATAGCATTATTAATTTGCATGATATCAACGAGAGTGAATAATGAAATATATTATGCACCTATTGTATTCGTGTGTGAATAAATGGACGAATTATAAAACTCGGTTGATAGGCCTATTATACTTACCTACCTATATTAAACAATTAGGTCAACTATAAAACAACAGCTAGCAAGCTTGATTGCAATACGCTAAGTGTATCTATTTAACAATAGATGTGTGATAAAACAGTTGACAAAATATAGGTCTAATAGGTAATATAAAAATCGAAAGTCCTTCGAAAAATTATAAACAGGAAACGGCCTTGAAAAACAATATTATTATGGTAGGTGCGTGTGGTCCAAATCGTAGACGGGTGAAATTGGACGAACAGCATGTGTTCGCCATTGTAAATATTTATAATCGAGTTGTTACTCACCACATCATAATTTAAACAACACAAACTCTGCGGAAAAACATAAAATATTTCTTTAGATTTATATGTACGCGTTGAACGTATAGGTACAATTTATCATTGTTATTGTAACTTTTTTACATTTGGTTTACGCCGCAGAGGCGCAGAGTATCATATAATATCCAAGAGGACCTACAGCTATCTGACTAATGTAAATATACGTTTTAAAGTATTTTCATTTGGCAACCAAACTATCAAGGTTCAATGACTTGGATAAGTTTTAACTTTAAAGAATAAATATTTATGTAAAATTTGACGCAAATAGAAACAAAGCAAGTTACGTTTTGATTACTAAGCATTGAGATAATTTATCAAAGAATTACGTAGGTTTATGACCTATATAATATGTTTTGCGAATAATATAGTAATTTAATTTTATAAATGTTTCGTGAAATTAGATAATTAAGTCGAAAATCATAGATATTTGAAACTAAACAAGTATATCTGACCCGACCAAATTATGAGGAAAAAAACAATTACATTTTTCAATTTTATTTTCTTAAATTACGTAGGTAATTGCGTAGAGGTATATATGCTTGTATAATGTATATATGAAATAAAAACAATTATTCTAGTATTGATTTGAATAACTCTTATTTTCATAATCACAGACTAGAAAATTCTTCTTCAAAAATGATTAAGTATTTTAACTTTTTAAAATTGGATAATTGGATAATCAGATAATATTATTATAGTTTTTATTAAATATTTAAATGATTACAATAAATCATAACATAAAGCAGTGGATACAGTTCTGATGGATTGCATTGCATTAGGTAGGTACTACTCGTGAACATCGCTAAATAATGTGAAAACTATTTTTCTCAGTGGTATCTAATTAAATTTATTGTAATGGATGTATAATAAATAATCCATATTTTAAATATTTAATATCTTGTACAATAATAAGTGAGTAGTGACAGTTAAAGTTATATAAATAGAAAATGTGCACTAAATTCTAATTAAAGTGATTTAATCACCAAATTTATTATAATTTTATAATACTCGCATATTGCCATATTGATATTGGTATAAAATAAAATCATTTTTTAAATTGTATATAATTTGATCCTACTAAAAAAACAATTAAAATACGTAACAATGTGGAATCTAACATTATCGTAAATTCATAAGTGTAAAATCTCCAAGACGTAAGAACAATATATAGGCAATAGGTATAGCGTAGGTACTGAAAAATAAAATATAATAATATTATTTATATTTTATTTTATTAGAACACCTACAGTGATCTCCATTTATCGGTAATATTGTGAAAGGAATTCTCAATTGGGCCCATTACAATTCGCTGATTTTTATTAGGTTATTATTATTATTATAGGTTTATTAGCTATACATTATTACATTAGTAAGAAAAAATAAATGAACAAGCAATAAACGATGTATGACTAATTAATATTTATATCCAAAAATATTTTATAATTGTTAGTAGGTAATAATAAAATGTATAAAATTAATTAGACATTTTTGTTTCTTTAATATTACTTATAATATTAAGTATATTGAAAAATTATTTAAAAAACTAAAATTATCACTGTTAAATAAAACTTAAGTATGACGAAAACCGGTAAAAAGGAGATATTGAAGTAAGTTAATATATATATATATGTATAATATATTATCAAATGATGCAATACGAATTTATAACAACGAATTATATTTCTGTTTTTTGTGACATATCAAAATTCAGATAAAGATTTTCGGGACACCACAATAAAATTTAAAAACCATGGCGTCTAGACTGCACTCTCCTACCCATTTGTCCAACTAAAATATACAAAATTAAAGGTAAAATACTAAAATGTATAACTCCACCTCTGCACCCATGATAACTAGTAAATATATCAAATTAATGAGAAGTTTACCAATAGGTTAGACTTAGGTTGCCATACGTCCCGAGGTTTGGTCAGGACTAGAAGTTTTATGATATAGAATAATATATTATAATATAGATTTACAAACGTTAAGTGGGGCCCATTATATTTTCGAAGAAATAAACAACAATACAATACAATTAATCAACAAAACATAATTTGTTTGTCTTTTTATTTGATTTTTTTTTATAGTTTTCTTACTCTTTTCAGAATCTAAAAACTACTTAAAAAGGTTTTCGTAATAGTTTCACTTACTTATTCTAAACACAATTACTTTTTTTTGGCTAAAATTATTAACTACCTATATTAAATACAACTGTCTAACTATATCCTATCGTCTATACCAGATACCTACTATAATATTATATAGTATAGAATTTAATGATGGCAATGATGCCTATATTTTGAAATTATTATAATATAATATAACTAAGAATAAATTAAAAAAAAACTTAAACCAGGAGTTGTTACTGCCTATACTATAAAGTATAAACTCTATATAGTAAAAAAAATAATAACTGAAAAAAATTAGTCACAGTTTTTAGTTATCCTGGGTTTGTTCTCAGGAATTTCTGGGAGGCAACCAATGAATATCCAATGTCCACACAATACAAATTATCTCATTCCAATGAATATAATTTCCAAAGTTGAATTCCATAAAATCTAAATCTAATAAGTAACTATAAAATAAAGTACTAACTACTAACACTACAATAAGTTAGCAATTATTATATACCTCGTTTGGTATAACTTGAACGGAACTAAACCGGTAATTGGTGTAAAACAAACAGACAAAAATATCACCTGTACTCGAATAACAGGTAAGTACCTACCTAACTTACCAATATAATTTTCTATGGTTAAAAATATCTGTAATAACCTACTGTTATTACTTTTATGCAATCTCAATGCGAGATATTTCAAACACTGACAAACGATGATTAACACCAAAATGTGTGCGTGTTTGTAACCACTGTTGTAGGTACTTAATATAATAATAATAGTAACCTATTACTAATATTTACATTGTTTTACAGCCTACGTGTAGCACTGTAGCTAAAACATGTTATCCGCAATCATAGCTAAAACGTATTATTATTGAAACGCGTGCGTTGTGAAATTTGTAAAATGTAGTAGGTATCTATAGTCTATACTTAACACTATTCAGTGTTCACGCTAATCATTAGTATCTTTATAGGTATATAATGTAGGCGCCAAGTAGCTCCAGATCTACCGCATGGTCACCTTGGTATATACGGTATATTAAAATATGGTCGTACCGTCGTCAAGTCTCAAGATGATGATATAATATCTGCCTATAAATTATAATACGGCTATACTATATGTTCGACGAGTATAATACAAGAGGTACCTGCATGCATGGATCTAGGGGCTAAGGGGCTTTAGCCTCCCTTCTTGGAAATTTTATACAGGTAATATATATTATTTCTTTGTATAATAAATAGTGTAAACGTCTTAATAACATAAATTTAATATATAAATAAAATTTTAATATTGTTATATCAAATCTGAAATCTTGGGTAGATATACCTAGATATACCTACATAATAATTATATATTAATTATTATAATTATATATTATGTAATATTGTAATGTTATCTATATATAATAGAATAATCTAATATGTACTAAAATGACATTTGTATTTTTTCTGGAAAGATGTAGCTTCAAATTTCAGTTTAATAGATCCACACCTGAGTGGTACATCTCTTCGTATAATATAATTTATAAACTTTACTTATTTACATACTCGTAAGCATAACTGTTGTATACCTATGTATACGAATGGCTGTAGGTAACTAAATTGCATTTATTTTAATTATTGTCATAATAATATAACTATATTGTAGGTACATTATATTCTCACCGCGTGATTTGGGTGATGTCTAAGGGGGAGGGGGTGGGGGAACTTGGGCGAGTGCGTTTTTAATAGACGAATCGAGACGGAAAAGTGTGCGTTTAGTTGCATAACGTCTTTTGGAAATGACGCGCTGCCGCTCGTCGTCGAAGCGTCTCTTACGGCCGTCGCAGGTACCCGAACCGGTCGCTGCCGCCGCCGTCTTGTGTTCACTGCTTCTTCTTCTTGTGCACGTCCCGTCAACCAGGTCCTTCAGCATTTCATGGTAAGTGGTAACTAAAATTAGTACATTGTTTTTTATATACTATACAAAAAGTGAAAATAAATTTAAAATTACTTAAAAACGAGTAAATTGTATAAATATTTAAACTTCAATATTACAAAGTATCATGAGGGCAACAAAAAAATTCGTATTAAAAAAAATTTCGTTAAGCAGAACATATTTTTGTTAAATGGAAGTTTTACTGCTGTATTATAAATGTATAACCAAGTCCCCGACAGCTAGCATATAAGAATAACAATAAAAAATAAATAATATTTTTGGAAACCATTGGGTGGAAATGGGTGGAAATTACTTAATAGATGTTCAAGTGTAAAACAATTTTAGAAATTGTATTTAAGGGTACGATAAGACTTCAAAAGTTTGAAAAATATTCGTAGAAAGCATAATGCATAAATTATGCATATTATTAAATGGTTACATAGGTACTATCCGTGTTAAGTTATTTTTCAATTGAATAAAATAGTTTAAAAATTATAATTTCTAAGTTGTTTTTATCATACAAACGTTTTCTAAAAATATAAATATACCTACTTAACGTACCTACCACTTTATTTAAGTAAGTTGGAACACTATATGATATAGTGTAATTCATACAATTAATTTATACAACATAAAATACATAATATACATTAATGTTTATAATATCAATAAAAATACAGTTAATTTGTGAATAATACACAAAAAATATGTAGCAAATAATAATTTCTATTTAAACTATACCGAGTACAATATAATATTTATTAAATCTATTTTACAGACTTCCAAAACGATTTCGTTAAAAAACTAGATTATTTATATCAAAAATTGTATGTATTTTATCGTGGATATATTAGTTAACATCATTATACATTACTAATATAAGAAATCAAATTTGTTGTACGTATATTTTAGTAGGTGGATAATAACAATGTAAGATATAGTATTCATAATGTTAGGTTCAATTGAAAAATAATTAAAGATGTAAATACTTACTATTAACATTTTAGTTTTAATTAATTACTCTTACCGTCTAAGGTGCTCCTAATTGTCATATTCACGATGTAACCAGATAAACCATCAACTATACTATGGTATATTATACTAATATACATATATTACCTAATTTTTGGAAATGGTCATTAACATTAAAATAGTTTCTATCAATACTATCATTTAGGTACTTCGATATACTTCGATTAATTAAAGTAGAAGGTATTAAATAATAATGAAAAAGTTAAAGTTTAAATTTTTTTAGGGTTACATTTCCATCATCCTTATCCCTTAAATATTATTAATTATAATATAAAAATAAAAATTATAATTCTAATAAATTTCAACTAAAATATGTTGTTATCAAATGTTCAATATTACAAACATTGTTGTAGGTACCTACCTAATATTTTACTGTTAATTATTTAAATTTTGTAGGTATGTGTTTTGATTTTTATATTTTATGGTATGTTAATTATTTAAATTTTGATGCGTTTATAATTTTCATATTTTATTTTATGTTTAATTATTTATTTTAATAGTAGCTTGTAGATGAAAAACTCCGAAACTAGGTAGGTAGTGTTATTTTTATATTATGCAAATAAATATATAATGTAAACATTTTGTGATCCTTTTTATAGTTTTTATGATTTTCTTCTAAAACTAATTATTCTTACTTAATGTGATCAATTGATTAACTACCAATACCTATGGAATATACTGATAATTACTTAAGTGTATTTATGAATAATTTTTCATCTACATACCATTGTTTAATTACAGTATTATTAATTTTATAAAATAAATAAAGCGCGTAGGTACATATATGTATAACGTACTTATATTTTAATTATAGAACTTGTAAATTTGCTGATTTCAAATATTTGGTACTTAGGTAAATATCTAATTAAATAATGCATAATTTTCTTCCCAAGATTGCTAAGAATAACTAATTTACTAGGTATAGAAAGTCTTCTTATAGCAACTACTTAACGTAGTGGACTAAGGAGTAAGGACTGGGTATTCGCCAGAAGCCATAACAGCTTATTAAAAATTCGGATGTTTTGGCAGAATTTGTATATTGTCATAATATTATAAATACATAGCAATGATCACGGTAATAATATACTTGTTAAATGATAGAGCCTGGCAAGTGTCAACATTACACATTATATTGCGCGTAAGATTGATAATACGATGACAAATATTAGGCTTTATTTAAACGGAACTGGGTCAGTTTAATGGGCTGCGAACAACATTATTAACTTACTATTATAATATTATGTGTAGTAATGTCACAAAAGAACAAAATATTACTATTCGGACTATGCTAATGCATACAGAGGGACTAGATAGGTATCCGAGGTAAGACAGGAGGTGTGTAATGAAATAATAATATAACTACTAAATATTTTAAACTATAAATTACACGAAATATAAAATATAACATTCGTTACCATCACAAATTTGTATTTGCAATTATTAACATATTTTTTTTTATGAACCTACGCTCAGTAGTCTTTATACTTACACTTTCACCGCTTATTGTATACAAGTTGTAAAATTTTGTTTTCGTTTTACACAATAATATCACAAGGTTGTGAGATAATATGCATGTCTATACGTCGTGCAGAGTACAAGACGTTCGGTGAAAATCACAAAATCCCAAAATGATGTAAAGGAGTCACAATAACCGTGCAAGTGCAAGCACGTCATAGCCTCCCAAAAACAAATGATCAAAATATGCTCCAAGTATGAAAATATTGAATATATAATTTTACATCTGTGGTCAGTACTCTATGACATTACGACCTGACCTCATCAAGTTCATGAACACAATAAGATGCGTGAGAGTCGGAATTCGCGATGTAGAATTTCCTGCTAATTACTTAAAATCGTGTACACTTTCACTGGGAGCGCCGCCGCACCACCGTGTAGAATTCTCATGTTTCTTCTTCAATACCACGTCCACTGTCTACGATTGCATTTCTATTAATTGTCAGAATTCCGGCCCAATCACGAAGTTAAATAATTAAAGACGAAAACGTTATTCCGTTTTGTATGAAATTAATAATTACGCTGACTTTACATGCTTACCTAATAACTATGCAGCCTATGGTTAATGGCTATATTATGTTAAGTGGCAAAAATATTAATTTTTTTCTGTAACATATAACAGTGAGCCGCAGTTCAAGTAACAGAAAGTACAAGTACTTATCTTTAATTACCTACCTTCTTACTGCCTATTATTGAAAAATATGTATATTTACATTTTTGCACAGAATTAAAAATTAAAATGTTGACAAAAAGTTGCATACAAACTGAGTCTCAATAAAACTTTTTAGAACGAATTGACTCCTAGGTTGTTTTAAAGGCTTAAGGCATATACTAATTGAGTCCATTTTTCAATACTAATGGATTTCAGTCAACCTTGGAAAAACATCTTCCCTCCTATTTTTACAGACTTATTACTTTATTATAGGACTGTCTTAACAAAAAATTCTACAGGTATGGTTCAAAATGTATTGTTTATGTTAATTTTGTAAAGTTTGATTAATGTGTATAATATTCAGTTAATTAAAATATAATATAATACCTACTTAATAAGTATAATATATTATGAATAATAATTCAGTTGTTACTTGTTCATAAATAAATAAATAATTATAGTTACCTATAAGAACTGATTAAATTGAATTTCTTATATTGGTAAAAATGTATGCGATTAAATTTGTACAATATAATATTCAAATCATACGGTTGATTATATCTATTATTAAATTTTATTCAAATAATCATATGACTCAATTATTATATATTTTTTTGTTTCCCAATAATCGAGGACTCAATTGGTATCTATATTTTTCGTTTGTATATACCCGGTCACTAGGGACTCAAATAGTCTATTATATTTTCCTGTCCAAGTATAGGGACTCAATTAATATGCACCAGACTAAAATACCATAGTATTCCTTTAATTAAGGGTTATTAAGAGGACCTCCTACCGACCACCCACGTAAAATCTGACTGTGTTTCAAACAATTCTGGGGGAGGGGGGCTTCAGTCTAATCTGACCTAACCTAACCCAGGGTACGACGTCCTCTTGATAATAAAAACAATGTCAAACTCATAATACTATTAAAGTTTTAAATCTATTATAGGTAGGATCATCATCCATCATTTAATACTGGTAAAGTGGTAACACATAATACTGTTCAAAGACGCAAATAACAGAAGTGCATCGTGAGCTTACAGATTATATTTTGATACTAAATGTATAATTAAAATGTTTTAAAGTAAAAAAAATAGTACCTATGTTTTATTCAAAAAAAAAATTAATTAACCATATAATATCGTAAACTAATATAACATTATGAGGTAATATCATAGTTCGGTAAATAATGTTTAATTTTCTTTAGTACCCTTACATCTCAAGCGGAACAATAATTTAACGCGTCTATGGTTTATTATTTTTTTCTCTAGTAGGTTTAGGTAGCATTAAACGTTAGTATTGCAGTGTTTTTTTTAATACGGAAATCTTATTAAATAACTTTTACAATTATTTACTATATTACAACATTATTTACTATGAAATATTGTGTAATTAAATAAAATATTTACATTACAAGGAAAATAGTATACTGCAGAGTATAGTTTAACCTTTTTATATCAATAAACATTAAGACTACAATGATCTATTATCTAATAATATTCTTCAAATGTTTAATTAAAAAATAAATAATTCAAAGTATTTAGAACTGTTTTAAAATAAATATCGATGATATCAATGAGTTGTTTGTTAAAAACACAATAGCAATATTCAATGTACCTACATTATATTATTACATTTTGAGTAATTTTTTAAAAATGGTATAACAACCAATTGAATACATTTCAATAATTTATTAACGACAAAGTTTATATTATCCTCACTCTTGGATCTAAAAAATATTATTTCTGTTTAAATTATATTGTTCACCTTGAATATTGACAGCACGTGTACAATATCTCTATGACATATTAATTAATACTCTATGTCTCTATGCATATAACAGGTAATTGGTATTCCACAGTGATAAATATTATATTTTATATCATCTATTTAAAAGAATATAATATATCAGTTTAATTCGCTTTAATTCACAAGTTGAAAAATTATATTTCAGTAATTCCTATTTCCTAAAATAATTTTATTTTCTATTTATAGTTATTATAAACAATGTAAAAATTAATCCATATAAAAAGAAATAAAATTAAATGCTTATAAAGTTATTTTTATACAAAACATGGATTGGTCCTACCAGTATTATTTTACCTAATTGTGTAAATCAATAAATTGGATGAAATAGGTTGTTAAAATAGTAGTGAAATTGAAAACTGGACGAAAAGATTATATTTGACGTTACATTTTCTTCCTTTCTAAATACGTTGTCAAAATTATTATATTACCTAGGTACTTCATTTATTTTTGAATAAAGGATTACACTCCTACATTTGACTATTTGAATAGAAGAAATTAACAATTACTTTTAATATAACTTTTGATTAAATCTCAAAACCAAAAAATTGCATCATCATTGAAATGTATTATAAAAACCACAACATTTTCCTCAACATAAGTAAATACGTATCTATAAAAAATAAAATGACACACTATTTGAGAATAAGTTAATCTTAATAGTACAAAAAATATTGTTATCAGCCCATAGGTACACCTTGTTAAAACGATATTGACAATATTGTTGTACGATTATCATTTCTAATTGTTTATATATTTCATGACTTGGTTAAATAATATCATATGTATGTAGGTAGTTACTATCATTTTTGCGGTAATGAAATACTTCAGGTAATATTAGCAATAATTTTACCGCCTGTAGGTACTTTTTATAGAATCAATAATCATCGTACTTATTAATATTTTAAAACCATAGTTGATAAATTAAAATAAAGTTCACTCAAAGCCTGTCTAATTCGAGAGGGTATAATAGATACGATATTACGAGATCTAACAAGTCATTCATTACCCACCAAAATTCGCGTGGGTTAGTATATGGATACCTATCCATAATCCATATATAAATATTATAAACCGTAGAACTTTTTAAAAATATTAAAAACGCTGTTATCTTAATCCGTTCAAACGGTACATGACGCAGTTTCTGTATTTTTTTAACTGGATATAGGGTAATATAAATCCACGGTTCGGTACCTGCGTGAACGAGGACTTAGAAATGCAAATAAAATTTCGATTATCTTACCATAATTTTATGTACATATTAATATGTGTGTGTGTGTGTGTGTGTGCACAGGTTGTTCGATGATAGCACGTACAGGGGAATCCTGTATCCCAAGTACGACGATGACTACACATCGACGATTTACGAAGCGGACGAGTACAACGACGTGCAGTTAGACGAGTTCCGAGTGTACTGGAACGTGCCCACGTTCCAGTGTCACAAGTATGGGTACAAATTTGACGAAGTGGCCGAATGGGGCATACAACAGAATGTCGACGACAACTTCCGAGGTGACAAGATCAGTTTGCTCTACGATCCGGGACTTTTTCCAGCCCTGATGCAAGGCGGTAGTTCACGGAGCGATCACGTCATCAGGAACGGCGGTGTACCTCACGAGGGTAACCTCACCAAGCACCTGGAATTATTCACCAGAGACCTAGTCACCAAGCTAGTGCCGGACCCAAGTTTCTCGGGTGAGTTATCACTGAGCAAACAATAAACAATAAGTAATAACACAAGGTCATATATTACAATATATTTATATAGGTAATAATAGGTACGTCGTACGTGTCTATTATAATATTATTATCTGTGCATGCAGCATGCTACTGCAGTTTTATTATGAAAAACTGAAATTTTGCATAATATGTATACCTATAACTATTAAGGACCATTAAAAATTTTTCAAATTTGTTCGAAATTAATTATATAATACGGTTTGCGGCAATAAAAGTAATTATATTAATATAACATGCATATATAAATAACGAATAGTACAAAGAAATACAAGCCTAACTATCTTTATAATTAAATATACGAAGATATTTAAATAATAGGTATTAAAAGATAATATGCTTATTAACATATTACTACAAATTACTCAATAAACAACGAATTACAACAATAATAATAATAACAATACGTGTTATTGTGTTAAGTACCAGATATAACATTAAAGAAATAGTTAAGTATTATAAATGTATTATAATATAGGTGCATTTATAAAATAATAGTTTTATGATTTTAAACTGTATTAAGAAAATAATACTGATATTTAGGGTTAGCTATTATTGATTTTGAACATTGGCGTCCTATGTATGAAGAAAATTTTGGATCATTATCACCATATAAAGAATATTCCTTGGAAATTGAGAAATATAATCATCCGTATTGGCAAAAAGAAGATCTCCAAAAAGAGGTATATATTTTTGTATCCTTAATAATAAAAATTCCGATGAATGCGATGTCTTATGCGACCTCTTAATATTGTGTCTCAGTAATAATTCTATTCAAAATTTGTTAGATGACATCTCCATCACTGTAAAATAAAATACATATTATTGTCAACAGCGTTGACGAAAAAAATAATATGTTGAAACGTTTGGCAAATTTAATTAAAAGTAACGCCCTAATACAAATATTATAATTAAAAATTAAATTATCAAATTAGATTATAATATTTAATTGTGTGTTACAGATTTACAAACCTATTAGTATGTTGATAGAAACAATGAATGATAAAAATAAAGTAATTTGTTCTTAAAGTTTAAGGTCTTGATCAATATTTCTGTCTTTAATCATTATTTTTCTAGTAATTGATTAATACAATTTGGTTGATAATATTTGCATCACATTTTCTGCCATCTTCGTTAAAAAATACCATACAAATATCCTACCTTTTTGAATTTGTTGAATAAAAAAAGTTATTTAATTAAAAACAATTAATATTTCAGATTATCTTAGATTTATCGGTCTGGATGAATGTATTGGTTTTACAATAACATTATGATGTGTGTGTGGCTTTTTTGTTTTTTCATTTATTTTTGGATCTTTAATCAGCTTTCGGAGCAGCAAAGATGGTTCAATCTTAAACTTTGAGTGTGGTTTCTGAATCAAATTGAATTAAATTGGTACTTTATTGTGGGGCAATACAATTAGAAAATCCCTAGTGCCTTAATTTTCAAAATCGTGGTACAATCCAAATCTAATATGCAACAGAGCGACTTCCCCGTTATATACCTACATAAAAAATATCAACAAAAGACGCATTTGTTGTCTCCGTCTTATAACCGTGTATCATATTATTACAATTTAAAAAATCAAAACATAGAAAAAACAGCATATCAAACCATAGCAAATATTGTTTCCATTAATTTAAATTCAGGTAAATGCAATCTAATATTACAACTAACGAAGCTATAAAAAATTAAATTTCTTACACACTTGTAAGACGGAGTAGACAACACACGTGGGTGAGACGTTTTCTTAAGGAATTTTACATTTTTTGATTATATCTATGGATTCATCTAGTATAACACTATGCGTTTTAAGAGACTTGCTTAACATTGGTTGTTTCCATATATAAGCTAAAAGTAATAATATGGCACAAAAGTATTAATCAATAGCTTATACCTAACTCACTTTCGGTCGTATACACTTTTAAGTTTTAATCAATCAACGTCTTTAACGTGAAAGTCTTCACTCTCCTTTTTTATAGTCTGTCTAGTGCCTACCCACTTATATTTCATATAAATGTATGCTACCTCAGTCCATTTGCTTAAAATATTTTTTAGGCTTCGAGAAAATTTGAAAAAGCAGCAATACAGTTCCTAAAACGAACTCTACAAGTTGCAAAGTCATTAAGGCCAAATGCATATTGGGGATACTATGGATATCCATTTTGTTTCAACTATACACCAAAGAACGACCAAGCAAAATGTTCATCAAATGTGATGAAAAATAATGAAAAGTAATGTACAACACTACACAAAGGACATAATATTAATTTAATAAAAATAAATGGTACCTATGGTAAATAAATTAAATAATTAATAAAACTATCGTTTTGAACCATCGATCTGATTATCTTGATAATTGATACTTAATATTATATAATATAATACATTTCAACGCATATTCAATTATAACAGAACACTTAAATACCCACCAATTTAAATTCAATTTTTAGAGATAAATGTGTATATAATTTTTAGTTTTTTTTTACAACAGAAACCTAAATTGGCAATAATTAACTATATTCCCATTGTAAGTTGTGAATCCGGTATTGGTCATAATTCGTTCTAAAATCTATAAATATATTGTTTTTTTAGTATGTAAAGAAGTAACAATTTTTTAAGAAAAAATAGAACTTTGAAACAAATAATATTTTTAGTACCTCTAGGTACTAAGATATTATATATTTATAAAGCCATCTTAGTGTATTAATATATATATATATATATATATATTCACAATTTAATAAGCTCAATATATTGAGGCCAGATTTCAGAGTCTTTATTTGTTTAAACAAGTGAAACATTTATATTATTTGAAAGTTAACGTAAACGAAATGAAACGTGCACAATGAAATCGAACTGACGCATACAGCGATATTAATTTGCAACGTGAAATACAAAATGGGCTCTATAATAAAAGCCATTCTGTATAGAGATGTAGCAGAGTACATCTACGTGTAGAATATAATATTTACTCCGTGCTCGTAATTCGCGAATCGTTATTTAGTGATTAGTAAACAATAACGGAGTTTGAAAGGAACATATTATACAGAAACATAGATAGGTATAGTGAATGGACCGGGAATGATTAAGGATAAGGAAGAACGACGATCTGTGGCAGATAAATTCGTGATTAATAAAATAAGTTATGAATGGTCAAAACATGTAAGCCGGATGCCCAGGACGGACATAGTATAATTTATTGAATGGAAAACAGTTGGTGTAAAACCGTGGTAGTTATGGTATAGCATAGTGGTTAGAGAAATTTAACATGAGTATAAATGTAATGTAGTGTCATCAGGGTACACCACCAATGATAGGAAACAGCGAAGGAGATTTATAGTTGTAGACATTTAAAACTATTACTATATAGGCTTAAGCCTAAAAAGGAAAATTAGAGAATTTTACTAAATTGTACAAAAGGCTTACAATATTTTTTCTCAGTCATCCGGCATAAACAAATAGACCTAAATTATTTTATTTTCATGCAGTTGATTTTATAAATAATTAATAAATACACTAATTGTTACAATAAAATTACAAAAATAATATAATTAACCGATGAATAAAGTGAAACAGTTCAATGCACACATTATAACCACCATAATTGTTCTTAATAATAACAAGACTTGTTGCTATGATTATTATTATAGTTGTGTTGGTAGTATAAATAATTATAATAATTAAAAAATGTGTATTATACAGAAACAGTTATTGTAGAAACAGTTTATTTTTTCTAACTAAAAGTATTATGTTACAACTGAGTTTTTCAGTAAATTAAAGACATTCTTTTTCTTTTACAATAGGTATAATTTCTTATTAATTATGAAAATTATATACGATTGGTTACTGGTTCATAAAACTGTTTTCATATTTTCATATACTTTAATAAGTGCATGAAGTCATGGATAAATATTGAACTAGTAGTTATTGTTATTTAATATCTAAATATACTTTACCATACAAAATAATATTTATTCTTTGAGTCTTAAAAAATAGTAGGTAGTAGGTAAGTTAGTATCAAATAAAAGCTAATTATTGTAGCTGATAATTATTTAAAAAAATATTTTAAATCATTACTCTTCAAGCTAGACTACTTATAAGTTATAATTGACAGTTGTATAAGTTGTTAATGATACAGGTTAACACAATTTTATACATACATCCAGTAAGCAACCCGAATCTTGTGGTTCCACAAAATATGATATAGTTACATTTGTAAATAATAAATATTATATATTTAAAAACATTTCTTTGTTAATAAAACATATAAGTCAAAACAAACGACCTTATATTTTTATTATTTCGTTTAATGCATTATTTGTATATTAACTTACCGTTTATTTGTTTTTGGTTTAATTACTGCACCTGTGATCAGTTTTATTTTTAAAACACAGGACATCAAACAGTACCTATAAATCGATTTATATTATTATTCTAAATTCTTACTACGATTTTTATTCTACAGAAATTCTTAAAAATAATATTATTATTTATTCTGATTACCTGTAAGTTACAAATTAAATCTGATTAAAAAAAAAAAATCTTTAGAAAATGAAAACGATAATAAAGTACTAAAAATATTTTAATAAAGGGTTTTTATTATATTGACTACAAATTATGTAAAATAAAGTATTTTCAAAAACGCTAATAATTATCGAGATAATAAATGTTTACTGGTTAAAATAATCACTGTATGTTCCAACATTTATGTAATTAAACTTGCTTATTTTGATTATTATTATTATTATTATTAATTGAATTTAAACAGTTAGGACCAAGTAGGTAGGTACCTACCTAAATTAAATTAAATTTAAGTTTTTCTTTTCAATAATATGTCACATCTTAAATGTGAAGTAATTATTATAAGTAGGGAAAAATGTAAATTAATGAAAAATGTTGTGTTAATAAAGTTATTGTTTATTTTTTTAGATCAAAATGGTTATTCGAAGAAAGTACAGCTATTTTTCCGTCCTTATATTTTAAATACGAAAATATGAGTTCAGAAAAGAGATCTAGATTTATGCAAGGTAGAATGGCGGAAGCAATACGTGTGGGAAACATGGGTAATACGAAAAAAATTGTTTATCCATACACATGGATTAAATACTATGACACAAAACAATTTGTAGATAAGGTAATTATAATTTCAGGATACAACATTATAGTATTTACAATACGCACCAATAAAAATAATAACATCTTTAATCGAGATTAAACTTGAAAAACATATTATTTAAATAAAAATAACCATGTCGAGAATAAATTATAATAAATTATAATGTAAAATATGCATACCTGCAAATAATGACATTAAACGCACTTTCGTTACATATTCTAACATCCAACCGATGAGTCCATATTAGATCGTAATTATTATTTCACAACTTCACGTTTCACAAAGCTATAAGGATAATATTTTAACACGTTTAAAATATATTATTTTCTATAAAAAAAAATGTCGAACATACTTGGCACTTGGCGGATATGTCTATGTCATGTCGAGTAGGCCACTTGAGTAGGTTTATTATTATTTCAAAACATTTTAATAATCCATCGATTGTAAACAATACTCTTATTCCAGTTTTTTTTTTAAATTTCATGAAAATATTTGAGAATTTTGTAAAAATTTGTCTTTTTTTATAATTATTTCATCCAATTTAATCGAGTGTGAAGTATTGAAATAAAAAATATTTTCCCAAAAACAAGCAATGAAAAGAGTAGCTACAATTTTCTTCTAAAACCGACTAAAACTGATACTATATTATTAGGCAAATAATTATTTAAATTATAATTTATAAAACAATTGTTTATAAAATACGATAACATTAGAAAACAATATTAATATCATCCAACATGGATTTTACAACGAGATGAAAATAAATAATAACAAACTCATGTTGATAATTTTTTTTTTCCATTATAGTGACACGAAAAAAATATTAATACTTAAATTTTAAGAAGTCATCATACACACATTTTTAAGGGGTTTTATATAGACAATTTAATGTCTAAGCTATAACAAATTAAAAATATAATAGTATACAAATACAATATTCTAAAGGTAATATAGTTTACAATTGGTCCAACATTTGGTAATATTTTTATTGATAGTCACTACATTAAATATAATAACTATATAATATATGACGCTGATAAATGTTTTATATTGATTTAGTAATCACAGTAACTTAATAGTTCTAATCTATTTAGCACTAATCATACGTATTTTATAAAAAAAACTATTTGAACTTTGTGGTTTTAATGAAGGTGACGACATCAAAATAACAAACTTTTATTTTTCACTTTTATCGATTTTCCGTCCGATTTCATCCCAACGATGGTATTTTTTCAGGTTGATCTGATGAATTCGTTTTCAATTCCGAAGAAAAACGACGCGTCTGGCGTGATCATTTGGGGAGCGTCAAACGACGTAAACAGCGAAAGGAAATGCAAAGCGATGCACAACTATTTGACCGGAGTTCTCGGGCCCACGCTTAAAGCGTTTTACAAGAGCAACAGGAAAGCGATGAAGAGAAAAAGAAGAGCGAAAGTTGACAGTATATTCGATTACTTCATCTAACGTCGAAATTGAATTAATTTAAGAAGGCGTTAGAGCCGATTTTACCTAACGTTATATGCAATTATTTACATTGAGTACATACTATATATAAAGTATTTACTATACCACAGAGTTACCTACATTTTGTAAACTTTGATTACTGCAGTATCGCACTGCAACGTCATTTGACCAGAATATTGTTGTGTGTACATATACTAAATAGTTATTAGTGATTTGTGTTATATTAACTTATTTTAAAATATTTATTGATTATTTATTGTGTTGAAATTTGTGAAGCGTATTATTTATTATTTTCCTTAAAGCATATATAGGTTCATGATTTTGGGACTATTTAAATTAACACTATACTAGACATAGATGTATTACCTAGTCTAATATTATAATACGCATTTTAAAATAATCGAAATCATAAAAAATGTATATATGAACTAATTACAATATTATCAGTTCTCATAAATCTGTTATTTCTAAACATCGTAAATAATTATTATGATGATCATTAATTGTACATTATATTGACGATATATACATAGATTTGTTACCTATGCGTATCGCATCTCATATTGCATATAAATTATTATACATTTATTAATAATTATTACTAATTGATGTGTTAATAAGTGTACTTGTCACTCGTTAATACCACGGTATATGGATATTATGTTGTTGGTGTATAATATAATGTTTATGCATGCGTATCACACGATGGAAATTTGTAATAATAAGGTGACTACCTACCTATAACAACTATAATACGGAAACTGCTGAGTACGAGAATATGAGAGAAAAGCAGTTGGTTCCAATAGAACCTTGTCGATTACAATAATACCATAAGCATAATACCAGTATGGCAGTATGTTATACATGTAGGTAGATACTTTAATATTCTAGTGAATAAATCAATATAATATTTTGTAATTTGTGTCGTTCAATACCTATTCTAAACGCGATGCAAAGCCTTCATCGTAATACAACGCGGTTAGGAGGGCGTTAAGTGGCATATCTAGGATTTTTTTAAGGGGGGCATTGCCGAATTATATACACACATATATATACGTATATATATATATATATAATATATATATTTATATATTATTATTGTATTACTATAATATATAAATTAAAATATAATATAGTTGAGGTTATAAAAAACAAAAAATGATCAAATAAAAACAATCAAAACCAATCAAGACTTTCATATTATATTATATTATACGCGTACGGTAAAAACAACATTAATATTTTTATACTTAATTAAAAATAATTTATACACAACACGTGCTGAAGGAAGGTGATTCGTGGTGGTCCATGGGTTGTCCCCTGCAAATACCTGACTTTTACAATTCACCATATATTGGAGAAGACGGCTATATTATTGCTAAGAGCGATCGTGGCACTTAAATATACAATCACGAATCAATATCATCGCGAATATTTGAGAGTAGACATAATAAATAATAATATTATTACCTATATCGCTTGCTAAATGTTTTACAGTTATTATGGAATCACACTTATCCTTATCCTTTATCGCGCGAATGTGAATGAAGATTGAAATATACGTCTGCAGAGGCCGGTCCACCTCCGACCATCGCGGTGAAACGCAAAGTACGTTATAATACACTCGAGGCATTGCAAATCGCGCACTTATACAGAGTGATCCGCCGACAATTAATACCTAACAGGAACCAAGGTTATCGAGGTTTTAATTTTTCAATACACGGTTTATGCCTACTTAAAGACCATTATTTTCAAATACTTGGATTGTTTTAACAATATTTTTGAACAGTGAAAAGTTTTACAATTTTTTTTTTTATCTTGAGTCTTTTATGCTTATGGCCATTGAAATAAAATTCTCATGGAAATAGATAACAATATTATCATAAATGCAGTTGGTGAGAAATCTAATCTATTATCTAAATTATTACTATGAATGTATAAATCTTTTTATTATATATTGTTTACAATGTTTGTATATATCTATTACTTATTACCTTATATCTACTATACCTAAACAATTAAAACACAATATATAATATAATTATTAATATTTCGTTGATTTCAACTATTAAACCATACCTACTAATTTTATTTTTCAGACTTTCAGGAATAAGTAGGTACTTAGTGGTATATTAATATTATGTGTTAGAAGACAGAAGTTAAAAGAAATAGCAAGATAGTGACTGAAATACTTTTATAATACTAAAAGTAGTTTTCAAATAAGTAAATAGAAAAACCAAATTCGAGCTTAGCGAGAAAAAAAATTTTGGTGGGTGGCCTGGATAAATTTTAAACTCCCGGCCTGGATTTGGTTCCCACTCCGCCCCTGAAGGTATACAAGTATCTGTTGAGAAATCGGGTCTTGAAGTTTATTTGAAAATTCTAAAAATCAGAATTAGAAGGTATGCATATAATTAAATTCTCGCGATCATGGTAGACGAGTTACTCTGTGTGCACCGTATGTGTTCGTGTGCACGTGTGCGCCCACCAAATCTTCAAAAACATATACTAAGCTAATTGAATTTTTGACAGTACCTAATCAGCAATTATCCGCAATAAAAATATTAAATTTTTAACACAGCATTTTAAGAAACACGAGAAGATTTTAAATTTCCGATTTCGGCCTTAGTAAGCCATATAGGCCATATACTACCGCATAATATACTGCGTACTAGGTACCTATATACATTCTGCAGTATGTAATATATTAATCGTGTGGCTCTCCACTCTCTATAATAATATTTCAACGGCAGTTATAAGTATTTCAAAAATATTAATTATAAAAAGTTATTGACGCGCTGACATAATGGCGAGACACTATAACGTGTATAATATATTTTAAGTACGACAGCGTGTCAACTGTCTATTCGCAGTAATATAAAATATGGCACACATGTGCAGTGTGTTTAAATAGTAGGTGGGTAGAGTGGGATATAGTTGTTGTAGTAGTATAATATTATATGGTGTGTATATAGTAACTTCAACCAGATGACTTTTGCACGTGTATTTCTACAAACCGCATAGGTATAACATATATATACGATATACCGCTACAACCAACTATATAGTATATTATCGGAACACGATAGGCACTTAGGGCCATTACCTACATGACAATTATATACAGTACCTATATTATGATTCACATCTGTGACATCCAGTGACAGATAATATCCTGAAGAGTTCAAAAAAAAAATAATTATGTATAGGGGGATTTTTTGAGTACACCCTATTTTTATGTTTATATTACGCATGACATATTCAAATCCTGACTTTTGGAATTTTGAAGTGTATGTAGTTAACAGCGATATTTTCAAACATGCACTTGGATTTTTCATAACATTTAAAAGGAGTATCCTTTAGCCAACTTTTGTTTTTCAAATGAGAACCTATAACTAGTATAACTACATATTGTAACGAAAATTGTAAATCAGACAATTTTTCTAAAAAATGTTGACATATTGTAATCGGACTTTGAACGAAATGTTTTAGAGTTGTTCTACTTTAAAATATAATTATTACTAAATACTAGGGATAATAGTCTAGTAAAAAGATATTATTTGTACTTAAGTTTTAACAAATAATTGGGTGCAATATTAATCTATAAGCATTTTGTAATATAAAAAAATTACCTAGGTATACCTGGGACTCAGTAGTAATTATTATTCGCATATTAAATTATAATTATCAAGAACGTATCCGTTTGAAAATTATTTAATAGACAGTTATAATTGTCCTTAGTAGGTACTTAAAGCAGAATAACTCTGAAATTTTAATTCGATTATAATAAGTCAGAATTTTCAAAAACTTCATCTGATTCACAATTTACACTAAAACATGTAGGTTCTCGTTTGAATACAATTTGAATACAATTTTGAATACGATTCGAACCAACAATTGTAGTTATTAAGTACCTAGTGTTTTTGATTTTTAAGCTTTCTAAATTATTTAGATGAGAGTGTAAGATTGCGTACCTATATGTGTATAATATTATAGTACGGTAAAATAGAAATCATTATCTTATCCGACTTAAATATTTTTACATAACTATTTCATAATATAAATTGATTACTCACAAAAATAACTTTTATACTAAAAATCAAAGGATAATATTTTTAGATAAATTTCAAACTTTTGCATGAGACATTACATCTATTTTAATTTAATATGTAATTCAAGCTAAAAAATGTTTAAAAGCACAAACAAATTGGTACCGCAAAATGTGTGTTATTGATCCACGAGTAACGAAAATCATTGATTGTTGATTGTCGATTATAGTTTTACGTTGATAAATAAACGATTATGATATTATAGCTTAAATGCATAGATAATACTATTATTCACTTCGCAACAATGTTTCACAATAATTATTTATGATTATTTTGTCTGCGTCATTTGTCCGTTTATCGTTGTCGTCAGACCTAGTCAAAATACACAATAATATATACAATTCTAGTGTCTAGACGTGTTTTTAGAAATCGACGAAAATAATCTAATAAATAATTATATACCTACGCAAATACACTATCGCCTCCCAAATTATAATATCCTGACATTCGCGATTTACTGTTTGCAGGTTCGCAGAAATATTAACAAAAAAAAAAAAAAAAAAAACGAAGAAAGAAAGAAAGAAAGAAAGAAAAAAAAAACACCCGTCTACCATCTGCATATTGTAAACCAATGTCAATGTCATGACAAAAACTGCTGACTCCAACGTTACATCCGGTAGGTAATGAATAATGATACCCGAGTTTGCGCTTCGTATGTTAGAAAATTTTGCTTCCAGCGGGATATCAATAAAAGTAATAATAATAATAATAATATTAACAATAATAATAATATAACAATATAATAATAATGCATTACTTCACCGATTATATTGTACCGTAAGTACTACATACGCGGGAAGTAATCAACTTTAAACATTTTTTTTTTATTAAGTTGAACATTGCAATATAATATTATTAGAGGACGAAAATATAATAATAAGATAATAGAGA